ACCCTATCTACTGTAGGCTGGAAAAGGGATAAGAGAAGGAGGGAGGCATTTTTTTCTTTTGCTGTTCAGTCAAATATCGCCCTGGGTTGTTTGCTGGTACATTTGGTAATTCAAAGTAAAACATTATCTACTAACTATTTAAATTATTTCTTTTTATTGGGCCTTAACACTAACCTGCCCTCTTTAAGATATAAATATTTTATTAATTATTATAGTACTTATTTTATTAAACCATTGGTATTATCATTTCTTAATTAAATAGTAAATGTTAAATAAAATCAAAATTTGAATATAAGGAGCATATTAGAATTAGGTTAAAAGTTATTACAATCATAAAATATTTCCTGTCAGTTTGATTTTTATTATCGAATTTCCTTTTCCCTTTATACAATCTCTGTAGTAATGTTTCTAATATTAATAATTTATATGTAAATCATTTACATTTTATGGTTTTGGAAACAATATTATTCACTTTTCTTCTCAGAAGATTTATCTAATTTCAGTTAAAAATCTAACTTGCACACTAAATCTGTCATGTTTAAATTAAAAAGTATTAAAAATGTTAATTTTATAGTAGATATTATAATGTAAAAATCAGTAAGCGATAAAATAATTAAGTTTATAAAAGTAACATGAAAATATATTATGATAGAATATTATTGTTCAATAGATATAAAAAGAAATTGAATAACTTAGTAATTATAAAATATATTTCATAGAATATAAATATGGATATATTAATAATGAAATATTAAATTGTTAGTATGATATAAATTTTATATTTTATCAAACAATGTGATATTTTATTAAATTGGTAAAATATAAATTATTGAAAGTATATTAATATGAATTCAACAACTTAATGGTTATACTGTAAAGTGTAATGAAATTTGTTACCATGTAGATAAGCACTGATCACTACAATAATAACTATACTTTTGTAGGAAATAATAATCAAGCCTACATCTGCATGATTTACTAAGATACTGTCACACCACTAGTCTAATAATATTTCATTAAAACAAATTTTACTTAAATAATCGTTTATGCTATATAAAGGGGACAAAGCTGCTACTTTATTGTAATTTTATTCATAGAAGTGGTTCGATTTCATGGACAAAGTTCTACTCAATCTTTCTAAAAGATTTTCATTAACCTTTACACTTCAGGGTGATTCAGTGTTGAAATACAGTAGGATAAAACAAGTCCCTCTCTAGGCCTATAACAGTTCAGTTTAATTAATATTACCCTGGTCGTTGGATTAAATGCCTATGAATTCACAAACTCAAGCTCCCTGGGGGAGTATTCCACAATGTTGCAGCAGATACATCAGCGCATTTTGGTATTTAACCCTACCAGAACACCTACTTACATTATGTTCCTGGGTGGAGAGAAGCAATACAGATAAAGTGCCTTGCCCAAAGACGCTTGAAACCCCGACCCTGAGGCTTGGAAACCAAACTGTTCCTACTGCCATATGACTTGATTTTTATCTACTTGAGCATGATATTTTTGCTTCAAACATTTTAAATTGAGGATTGGAAAACTGGGGAGAG